ATTCTTCAAAACTTTAACAAGTCTCTTTTGTAAATCCAATATAAGAAAGTTATCCAGGTCATTCTTTAGATTTGTTATTTCAGTTATTAAGACATCAGCCAGTTCATTTGTATATCCAGTGTAACATCTTTTTCCATATCATTCTTGTAGCCTTTCATTTTTATATCCACTTTCAGATCAGTTTCAGTCTTGTCTGGTAAAACTTGTTCCATAATATCTTTTAAAGACAGTCTATCTATAATGACAGAGTCTTTTAAAATTAACTTCTGGGTCCATTGTTCACAAATATCTTTCAGTACATCTGATGTTAAAGTATTTTGCTCCAGTCTGTATTAGTAAGTCAGATTAAAGTCTTCTTCTCCATTAATTGTAATCTTTAGTTCCTTTTTAAGGATTCAAAACAACAGCATTTTCCCACAGGAAGGTTTTTTACAATTAATTTCAAAATCTTATTTCAAATCCATCTAGACTCTTAGTCTGTTTGTAGTTTTCCAAAATCAATGTTCTAATCACTCTTTTGCTGTTTATTCAAAAATAAAAAAGGAATTTTTTGAGTACTTAACCAGGTATTTAAAACTTCTTATGCTAAGGATTGAAGGAGAGTCACCCAGTGCTGTGAAGAAAACTTGTTCCAAAGGTTCCTTATAACTGAAAAGCAGTTAACAAGCAATTTCCAAAAGTGATTAGAAGAGGAAGTATGTGAAACCTGTATCCATAAAGTTGCTAATCGTGGTTTGGGCAAAGATGTCATTCCCTCGTCTCCCAGAGCTCTAAAGCCGCCAGAGACCACTGTCTTGTGGTCTCCTCGTGAGGAGCAACTGTATGGACAACTTGTGGGTGATCTTCTGGACAAGGTCCTCTCCTTGTCCAGAGAGGAATCCCAAGCAGCCAGTTCATTTGTCAGCTCTTCATTCCGCTGCAGTCATCGGCTCCGTTCTCAGAGTAGACGTCTTCAGTTTGCCATTTGTTCCTTGGAAATCCCGGAAGGGGTTCATTAATTGGAGTAGGAAAAAGAAATAGATTGTACAAGGGCAGTTATATGAGAGTTTTTTAAAAAAAACATTAGGCCTCAAATCTTATATGCTCTAATATCAGGTTTCTCTGTGTTCTTTTGTATTATTCAGACTACTAGGTCTCATCTAGAGATATTTTTATCAGCTCTCTGATACCAGGCCAATCGTGGAATGGCTTTTCTTATTTTGATACCTTCCTTTGGTCTTTTAGAAAGTCATCTTTTAAAGTTCACAGCTTGTACCTTCCTACTCTCAAAATGATATATTTTTTAATAATCTCCTATGCCTAAAAAGGGTAATAAACAATTGTTTTATCAATTAGGAATCATCTGTCTTTCACGAGAGAGTGACATCTAGACCTTAATAGTATTTATGTCTTTCAGCAATCTTGGGAACCTTCTCATTATTTCTTTCTATGCCCACCATCCCCACCACATGTTTTAATGATACTGATGTTTCCATCTTAGCTCCTTGGGACAAGTAATTCCATTGGTAATTCTTTGGGACAAGTAATTCCTTGGGAACAGTAATATCCACACCCAGTGGATAGAAGTCTGCATCACTTTGATTTATGAGTCTTAATACCTGGGCACAGATTTTTTTTAACATGTTATACAACTGTTGTTTCTGTATATTTAGTGGATACTTGGTGACATTTTCAGCTGGTACCATCTTAGGGTTACTCTTAAAACTGTATTTTCTATTTCTACAACTGTCTAACAAGCTAGTTTTCTGCTGCAAGCTGAGCTGTCAGGTTAGATAAGAGAGCAGTACTTTAATCTAAATTACAATATTTTCAGCCTGCCAACTAATAAGCGGAGACATAATTCATATTGGGTATCTCAGATTGAAGGGAAGCTTTTATGGTGAGTAGTAATATTTTGCTTGTTTGAGAGATCTTTACCCATGGCTTAAACCAGGGTCCCCAAACTCTTCAGGTCATCAACCCCTTCATGAAGTTTCAGATTGTTCATCAACCTCCAAACTTTTATTATATGAAAATAATTTAATAAATATTACTTTAATAGTACTATGAATAATAGCAACAACAGCAGCAATAATGGATAGTCCTATCTACCCTTGGGGGTCGATATTGACCGCTTTGGAGAACCCTGCTCTAAATGAATTCTGTCTTACAAAATAAACATGATATATTACATTAAAACTTGGATAGATGTTTTCAAATATTAGAATAAGTTAAATCAAGTTTCCTTTAATTATAATGATAGCCATTACAACTGAAGCCATTTACTACTTTTATAAAATATCTGTTACAGAATTCAAGAAGAGCGTGATGAAAGACATAAAACCAAAGGTAGATTAAGTCGTTTTGAGCCACCTCAGTCAGATTCAGATGGACAACGTCGTTCCAGTAAGTAATCACTGTTGTAATGCAGTATTGTAATTCTACAAAAACTTGAAACTGAACAGACATCCTATCTTTCCTTTAGTGGATGCACCTTCAAGAAGAAACAGATCTTCAGGTGGTAATATAGTTTTATAACTTAATTAAATGCTTAGTTAATTTAAAGTGGATGGATTGGATTACATCTTGCTTTCTTTGTTTTAGTACTAGATGACTATGCTCCAGGTTCACATGATGTTGGAGATCCAAGTACAACAAATTTGTATCTTGGAAACATTAATCCCCAGGTAATAATTCCAGGAGTTAAAAAATGTTCATTCTTATGAACTCTGTATACAGTTTTTTATATCAAGTATGCAAATATTATTGTGCATATTTACCCAAAATTCTTTATATAAATATTTTGGAGAGCAAGGGAATTATGATGCTTATATGCACAGTGTGTGATACTTTGACATGGCTGGGATCTGTTCATCTCCTTTTGGCCACTTTTGACTGCTGCGGATATGCCCTTTCCCCTCTGGTTGCTGGTGTCTTATCTCCATGTCCATTTGGTTGGGCAGAAAGAATGATCAGGTTCCTTGTACATCTGCTGATGTAATGCCTCACTGGAGCGTCACAAAGTGAGAAAGACAGACAGTCAAGCAAGAGAGTCAAACAAATGAGTGAGAAATACAAGCAAGCAGTATTGGGAGAGCAAGTGATAGAACAAGGATAAAATGAAAGAAAACACAAATTACAGATGGAGTGAGTGAGTGATTTTTTTTTGTTTACATTCGTCAGTTCAAAGACAATAAAGATATGATGCACCTTGACTTTATACTCTCACAAGAATCTTCTCCTTACTCTTTCCCTCTAGTAAGAATTTAGATAAAAAGCATCTAATTGTTTTTGAAGGAGAATCACACAATGGAGGAAAATGTTTTGTTCCCTGCCTTCTCTCTTAACTGTTAACTTTAATTTTATGCTTTTCTGCTTTGTCTCCATCATTCCATCTGTGGGTCCATTCCCTATTCGCTTCCATTTCTTACACCCCCTTCAGCACCAGCTCCTCTTCCTGGCTCTGTTTTCTGTAGTATGGCAGGAATATATAATGTACGCCTGATATCTCTCCTGAGCCTGGAGGCACATTTATCTTGTCAGAAATTAAACAAGACGAGTGTGCTGCAAAGCAACAGCCTCTAGCAACATGTTGATTTGCAGCAAAACCTTTTGGCCTGACATCGGTCCCTCCATGAGCATCCTGCTTTGCTAATTCCCCATTTGATAAATGGGCATTTTTGACTGTTTTCTATGGCATCTGTGTTGTGGAGGGTGCTTACTTCATGCTCTCAAAATTTTTAAATGTGTCCCTGGGCCCTGAAAAGGTTATCTACCCCAGCTGCATAGGGTCACCAACTTTCCTTTTGTTATCTTTCTTCCCCCAAAGACTAAACAATGATTTAAAAAACAGCCAAAATAAGAAACTGTCATGTTCTAAAGCAAAGCACTACTCTCTAGCTTCAGGTTCATTTGCAGAAATTCATTTGGTTATAATAGAGATCCCAACAAGATTATAGAGAACACTTGGATTGATGGGGCTAGTTCATTGTACAGTTGTGTGTGCGCGTGTGTGTGACTGGCCCTGTTTATTATAGTAGCCATTTTTGAAGTAGGCAGCTTTTCCAATTGCATGTAAAAATTTGTAAAAATTGAGACTCCAACCCCAAAGTTATTTAGCACTGTTGGATTATGAACCATGCTTTTAATGAGAACAAATCATTAGGGTATATCTGGATCTTGTGATGTCTTTTATCACAACACCATTCTTTTAACAAGTCTTTCAATTTCTTTCCTGTTGTAACTATAGAATATAGGAAATGCAATTCCATTTGAGAAATACCCCATTCTGTTTTATATCTCTAGATGAATGAAGAGATGTTATGCCAAGAATTTGGACGTTTTGGACCTTTGGCAAGTGTGAAAATTATGTGGCCAAGGACTGATGAAGAAAGAGCAAGAGAAAGGAATTGTGGATTTGTTGCCTTCATGAACAGGAGAGATGCTGAACGTGCACTAAAGAATTTAAATGGTACTAAAGAATTGAAATTAATTTCAGTATATATCATTTCAGGAAGAACATTAAGAGAAGCAGTATGTTTCAGTGAAAATCATTGCATGGGGAAGGTTTACTTACTCATCTATCTGTGCTTTGTTATGAAAATCTTAACAAAAGATTTTCATAACAAAAGTATGTCTTCCTTATCTTTTAAGAAAGTAGTAGGTGCCAGATAACTTAATCTACCAGATTGCCTCCATGTTTATATAACTGGGTTTTTCCCCAGAGGAATTTATTTGATGTTTAGTTTGTGGTTTTTGAAAAAAGAAAATGCCAGTTTGGATTTAGCTCTAATAGTAATAGCTGAAATGCTTGAAATCCAGTTATTGTAATCGTGCAAATGTATGCATGTCCACAAAGTCTTATGTCCATTTTTAAATTTGATAAAATACTTGGATGTGAGAACTGATCTTTGGAGGTCGCAGGGCTTAGTTATTACAGTATCCTTGGTCAGATATCTTTAAAAACTGAGACTAAATTTAATGCAGAGAGTTTGTTTCTGTTGCATGATACATATGGTAGATGACCAGTGAGCTTCCATATGAGCACCGATATTCATTGAAATGCTGATCATGTAATTTCTAAATCAGTACAACTCTTTCATTCCCCAGGCAAGATGATCATGTCTTTTGAAATGAAACTAGGCTGGGGCAAAGCCGTTCCTATTCCTCCTCATCCTATATACATTCCTCCTTCAATGATGGAACATACCCTTCCACCACCTCCTTCGGGTCTGCCGTTTAATGCTCAGCCCAGAGAGAGATTGAAGAACCCTAATGCTCCAATGTTGCCACCACCTAAAAACAAAGAAGATTTTGAGAAGGTAAAAAGTTACCCAGGGCCATACATCTTATATATGATAATATTTGCAGCCGTGTGATAGAATTGCAGTATTCAGTTCTCAGTTTAACTGAATTGTTCCCTGCCTTAGTTTAAGGAGCCTTGGCATGTTTGGGCTACATAATTGGGCTTTGTTTTTAATTGCACTTTTAAATCTGGCCACCATGTGTTTTCCCCCTCCACACTCCCTGGTTTTTTTCTCCTCTGTCCCCCTTTTGTTAGCTGCCAGATTTGCAGTATCTAAATTAATCTTTTTAAAGGCTACATTTAAATTCAGGCAGATTGATTAATTAGGATGAGCTCACATGTTTCTATGTAAAAAGCTATTTCAGACATTGAATCAGTAGTTGAGAATAACTATCAGGATATTTAAAAGGATTTTTTTAACAGACTAGTAAATGGTAAGTAACTCTTAAACACAAGTGATATCACATTGTTTTAATACTTTCATGAAGTTTCTTAGGTTTGAAAGAGTTGAGAACTAATGGCCAGTACAAATATAGTAGCTCCTGGTTCAAACAGGCTGCAGGATTGCTTACTTTTTTTTCTCTTGTTGCCTTGCTCAGGCAAGCTTTTGGTTTTGGACTGCAAAATTCTAGTGCTGGCTTTAACATAGTTAAGTGTTGCTTGGGCAGTGACAGTAATTGTGGTGAAAACTTCTCAGGGACTGCTCTCCTATGCATTCTCTAAATCCTAGGTTCCTAGCAGGATTAGAAACCTGGTAAGCAAGAACCTTGGTTAGCCTAAACTGTTGCCGCTCTCAGTGTGATGCTTAACTGTGATTAAAACCAGTAGGGCTATCGGATCCTTTGAAAAAGCTACTTTGGAACACATGGGAACTGTATGAAGCCCCTCTTTCCAAATAATCAAAGAGCCATACATTTTTCCGGACTTGTGCAACTCTTTTGTAAGCAGCTCCCATCTGTTTTCTGGCTCTGCATACACTGCTTTAATGATTCAAAAAGAGGTGATTTGTATGGATTCCCACATATTCCAAAGCACTGCTTTCAAAAGATTTAAACAGCCCTCAAAACCAATAATGAAGGTTGGGAGAATTCAGTCTCCAGAATGGAGGGGATGGAAAGTTAGAGCATTTAATTCCATAGCCTGATCACATAAACATGGTGGAACCACCACAAATATTAGCTTGCATAGGACCAAAATAGTAAATAGAAAATATGATTCCATTTTCTATATTTGCCTTCATCTGGCAAGCCCCTTCATATGCATGTGGTGGGTTTGTCTGTGTACAGTGAGGCTTTTGATTTTTTAAGTAGCTTTTCTATGCGGTATGGGGAAGTTGTTTCACAAACTGAAGATGTTGTGAACAGCAATTGATGCAGTAAAAGGAAAACTGCTGTTTAGAAAAGTGAAAGCCTTACTATACGCTTGGATATTTGTGCCTAATCCTATGGGCTGTAACCAGTATAGTATCTATTCAGTGCATTGATGTGCATTCTGTTTGAATGTACTTTGAAATTTGTGAACCTTTTGTGGTTCACCACACACAGTAATTTGCTATGTAATTGCATAGTCTATAACTTTGCAGCAGTGATTGCCTGCAAGACATGTGATAGATGTGTAGTATTTTCAATGCATATGTATTTTTTGCTTGTTACTTGTTAACAATACTCACATATTCTATGTTTATTATCTGATGTGACTTCATATACAGACTCTGTCGCAAGCCATAGTCAAAGTGGTTATCCCAACAGAAAGGTACATGTTTTTCTTTATTATTACTGATCTAAATATAGCAAATATCCCATTTGGAATTTTATAGAAATTGTGATGTTGAGGAAAAGCTTAGGTTTGACTGAGCAATGGTTGCTTTATAGGTATGAGTGAGAATGTTGAGGTTTACTATCTATATTAAGCTGGTTTTCACTAGTATTTCAGTTCAGGTATAAGCTTAAATGGAATGAAGTTGGAATTATTTTAGCAGGTGGATACAAAGGAAGTCCAGTATTTCAGAACTTTGTGCCTTCCAGATGTTTTAGATTTAGATGTTTTAGTAGTTTCGTTGTCCCTGGATAGCATGCAGGACCATATTGCTGGGGGTGGCCAGTAGTAATACAGCAGATCTAGAGCTGTCATGTTGTGAAAAGATGGACTGATACATGTCAGTAAAAATCAGAGTGATTTTAGGCTTGCTAATGATCAAAGGGTATTGTTACAGGCACATTTATCCCACAAACATGGGGATATTGAATAGATTTTAATTATATAAACATCCAGAATTACAGTAATTTCATCTTTTGTTATGGGGTTTCATGGAGGATTTTGATCTTGGATCGTTGGTTGACTTGTATGATTGAGGTTTGGATGAAAGGTTGTCTTTTCCTTAATCTTTTGAAGGCTTTAGCATAGTACTTCATAATTACATTATCTTTCTTAAATTAGGAGGTGAGAGTACTAGGAGTATCTAAGTATAGTCAGTATAATTTTCATAATTGGTATAATTTAGTATATTGTA